GACCTTTGGAAGAGTGGTTCGTGTCCGGCAGCGGAGGGGACGCGGTCCTTCCCCTTTCCCCACCTTTCAATCTCAGCCTAGAAGCAGCCGCCCAAGGGAGCTGCAGCATCACACAACGGCATCTTTAAGAGGTTCGGCACAGAGGAAATTCTTCGCGCCTGTAATCTTCTGCCGAGAAAATATGTTTTGTCCTTTAACTGCCGAGTCACTGGCGCTGCGCCTGGCACGCCACTCGCCGCCGCGCGCACCGGCACTTCGTTCCATGCATCAGAAGGTGTAAGGAAGTAGATACCGGCTCACTTCAGCCCTGGATGTCGTCTCCGCTCTGGGCGTTTTGTGGATTCTGGACAGGGATGAGCATCATACCCGACATAATCTAAATGCTCAGCAAAGCCAGAGGAAGGATTGCCACCGCGGTATTAGCCCGATCCAACTCCCTGCTGAAGTCAAACACCTCCTAAACAGTTCTTGCGTAATCACCGCAGAGTTCGGTGCCGTTTGTGGGAAGGGGCGGGGGACAGGAGGGAAGGCCCCCAGGCCAAGCTGGCTGAGGCTTCCCCACACCTCTGATCCCCCAATAACCATGTAGGAGCTACAAACGGAGCTGCGAGATGGGAACCATCAGGCACAACAAGCCAAGCTGGAGTCACGCAGGCAACGTCGGGGAGAAGCTTCGGCACTGCCAGCCTCCAGGACCAGCCATCCCTCCCTGGCCTAAGACCTTCAGCAGAGCGTCAGTTCAATCGGTGCAACAATACATGAAGTTTACCCTAAAATCATTAATGCACCAACCTGCTTGAAGGGTTTTGTTCCCAAGGGTCGGTCCCCTTGCGAGGGCTGGGAGATCATGGAAGCTTCTGCATCAAACGTGCTCATCCAGCGTCCATGCTCCCTATACGTGGCCTCTATACAGGGCGACCCAGCTCTGCCGCAGGGCCGGCAGTCTCCATACTGGGCTAGGCACAAAGGTCCTGATTTTGTCATCTATAGTTGGAAGTTCACGAACACTTTAATGAATGGCAGAACTGGGCAAAGCTCAGTGGTTCCAGTTCCTGGGGGGGTCGTCGTTCTCCAAGCCCTGGGTTTGATCAAAGCCACATGAGCGGGAAAGGGGGAAATCAGTCGACACCATGGGGTTCCACCAGGTTTCAATGGGAAGCCATAAAACCAGCCCCAGGTTTCTCAGGGCTCAGCCCAATACAAACCCTTCCCCAGTGAATGGAGAATTTTTAAACAATACCACGGCTGAGTTTCAAATACACCCAAACCCAGGTGCTGAGGAACCGACCGGATCCGTACCGCAGGGGGAGCAGGTAATTGGAAGGGCCGTTTCCCCCACGCTCGAGGAAAGGTCCTGGATTTGAGCCCTGACCTTGTTGCTAGGAGAATTAAGGCATTTTCATGCAATTTGGGAGGTTTCCGCTTGTATTGCAATGTCAGTTTCTCATGGAAAATGAAGACTGGAATGAAAAGAAAACGTGTGTGTAGGAGGGGGAAATTATTCTATTAATAACAAAAAAGTATTTACTTATACCTTCAAATTTGCCAACAGAGCCTAAGACGGAGACAGGAGGTGGAGGAATAACAAGGTGCAACTTCAGGCCAACCTCAGGGCTAATTTGAAGTAAACAAGGTGCATGAGATAAAATAACTTCGTTCTGGAAGAGGAAGAGCTAAATGATTTGATAACGTGAAATTACAGCAACATTTACAAGCACCTCGAGATAAATCAGGATAAGGAGCTCACTTCCCCAAACAGAGCATTCCTGTACGTGCTAAGACACGTCAGAGACAGACAAATGATTTTCTAATACTTACAAGATGATTTTACGGCATCTGTTACAATCCCCAATAGAATAAATCACTCACACATGTTACCTACACCACGGAGAGCTGGACCCATGGTAATCTGTTAGGGGAAAAAGCCATTTATAAGGGTTTTCAATAATTTTTACGTGTCACCTTGTTTTCACCAGGTGCCCATCGCTTAAGGCCTAATCACGTCCCTATTTAAATGACAGCGTAACACTCACTGGGTCTGTCACCCATCCCCTCACTCCTCCACAGAGAGGAGGACGGGAGAGAAAAGGGAGACGGCTTTGGCTGAGCATCGCTCCCCGCTCCGGCCGCCCTGTCCCAGGAGCTCCCAGTGCCAACGCTTGGTGCCGATACGGGGCTGCACCCTCTGCTGCCGGCGTCATTTGCGTGTAAAAAAAGCCGCATTTCAGACATGCTCAGCTGTCAGGATGCACCTTGCAGAGCGCTCACCCTTCCAAACTTGGAGGTTCAAGTTTTGAACGGATTCTTTAAAATAAAGAAGAGTCCTGGAAAGCCTTGGAGCTGTGGAAGAACTGCCCGGCCCGATGCCACGGCACTGCCAGGTGACGAGGGAGGACCAGCAC